AAGCGCTTGAAATCTAGATCCAATTGAATTCAAGACCCAGCTAAATTCAACTAGGATTCCACATCTTCAAATAGGAGTCCAGTAAATCTTGGAACACCTTGCATAGTACATAAACAAAGTCAGACAACAAATCCAGACGAATTCCTGCAAGATCTGTAAATCCCTTTGTTCATCCAATAAACAAAATGCAAACTCAAACAGAATCTTGCAAATTGTACGTAACTTAAACTATGAAGGTTGAGAAGCACCAAATTCATCAGGCCTCATGGCATGAATTTTCAGAAGACACCTAGAAAACCAAGTCATTCAGATTTGTGGATTCTAGTTTTTTTGCATTCGGAAGGTCCACAAGTACCCTGCCGTAAACTTCTACAAGTAGGGTGTTGCCAAAATTAGGGGTACCATTTTGGGGTCCCTATAGTCAGGATTATAGGATTTTGGGGTCTATATTGGTTCGCCCTATCCAGGAACTACCAAGTTGATTGGGCTATAGAGTCAGGGATTTCGCTCGGTCCACAACTGGTTCCAGACCATATAAGTTCCTTATTAAGTTGTATTAAACCCCTTCCCTGAATGTAGAATCCCACCCATGGTAAATCATGAGTTCAGGGGCTCTCAGATCCGGAAGTACTTCAAAAGGCGCAACCTGATAATGAATTAGGGGGCTCCAGAATTACCAATGACTTATTCACTTAAATGTTCAATGATAAACTAGTTTGATTAACTAGCTGATAAACTAACCTTCCCCTAGGATGCTTCGGATTTTCAATGCAGATTAAAATGACCCTAAGACATACTATGTTTCTGAACCAGGGAAACCTGAAAGTACAACAAAGCTATGGAAATCTTTTTGGTTTTTCCAAGAACAGAAACAAAAACAACCTAGGAACTCCAACAGCCCAAAATTCCTGGCGAAATCCGGCCAACTCTTTTGGATGTTTAGATTTGCCAGGTTTGGGTCATTTTGGGCTATATAAACACTGTATGGTGCGGGGTGTAACGGTAACCATTCTGGCCGTAACGGGAACCTGTTTTCCGGACTCGTAACGCGAACCAGCCGGGACCGTGACAGAAACCGCAGCCAAAACGTAACCGAAACCAGGCCGCCAAGCAGCCGAAACCGAAACCGAAATCCCGGAGCCCAAATCTCGCAAAGCGGGGGACCCCGAAAATCAGTCCCTCCCCAATTGCAAGACATCTTTTTTGCAACTTGCTTCTGCTTGTGATACCATGAGTGCCACTCCTACACTCCTTTTCGCAACTTGCTTGTACCTCATTGGATCCGAAAACTCTAAAACTTAAACCCTCAACCCTGAAGTTCACATGTCTGCACTTGCTTCAGAACAAGAATTTGAGATAGGGGTCTGTAACGGGGGGGAGGGCCCCCAGTCCAAGTGCTTTTATTAGGGGGTCCCCACCCAGCGGGTGCGGTAGGGGGGTCCAGTGGGCATCCTTTTTGGTGTCCAGTGGGCATCCTTTTTCGAGTTTTGGATCCAGGGGGCATCCTTTTTCAGCCTGAGGAT